GGGAGGCAGGAGGGACAGCAAAGACATCTGGCGTGCGCCGCGTGTTATTTTTCATAATTCTATTCTCGACTCTGTTCTTTTTTTCTTCGGCAGGCTTAAGTCACCTGGACAACCCCAACAAGGATTACACAGCCGAGAACCTCAGTGGCTACGGCAGTGCGGCCGCGGGCGGCAAGACGAAGAAGAAGAAGCGGAGGCATAGGTGAGACATCACCACAGATCTGCATCCCCAAAGACATTCGGGAAAGAAGTCTGACCGTCGGACGTAATTTAACCCGCGCAGCTATCGCAAATACTCACAAATACTGGTGTCGATACATCAATCGGTAGCGACTCGATAAGAATAAAATTTAAATTAGTTTAGTGAATATCTTTTACCCCCGGAGTTCCCCCACCTTGCGCGGGGGACAGGGGCCTCAGCCCGAGTTGGTGCAATATCGTTTGCTTGTCTTTCCGCCCAACTGCAGGACAATCTTCACCAGCTTCCAGCTCGAGGAGCTGGAGAAGGCGTTTAAAGAGGCCCACTACCCGGACGTGTACGCCCGGGAGCTACTCTCGCTCAAGACCGACCTACCCGAGGACAGGATACAGGTAAGCCACCGCGCACAACAAGCACACTTCCAAGTCACGACCGCCCTTTTCTACCCCTCCTCCTTTCATTTTTTCGCACACCACGCCTCATTGCCTCATGCGGAGCAGAGAGGAACATGGTGGAAAATACAACACGCAATGATGACTTTTTGGCGGCTCCGCGCGCGGCGTTGCAGCCCGGCGAGAGGGGAGAGCGCGGCAACGTCGCACTGTCGTGGCCATGGCGGGACGGTGCGGGGCGCGGAGCGTGGGGCGGGTGGAACTGTTGTAGAGCTGCTGCTCTAGAACTAGAGTGATTGGCTGGCGCTGCTCTCTCCCCCTCGTACGCACCCCCTCTCCCCCTCGCGCCACGCAAGGCCCCTAGCACATGGGCCCTCCCAGCCCCGCCCCGCCCCGACGCAGGCGCCCGCTTACCTCACGCGTCACCGCACTACCGCACGACAAAGAGGCTGCAGCACTACTACTACCACTGCTACCGCACGTGAAAGTAGTGTTGCGGGCAAAAGAAAAGGGTTTCGTCTATTTTCTTTTTATTCTCCCCCTTCGTCGTCGTCTCGCTTTTGCGGCCACGCTGCTGCCATTCTTCTTGTGTAGAAGTTTTCAACGAGTACATTTTTATCTCCCCCATGTACTACCGTTGTACATTTTTTTAATATATGAGCCCATTTTATCAAATTGATACGTCAGGAGAAAATGCGGAGGTCAGGTCCTCACCGTGAAGGTTTAACAAAGTGCATAGATTTAATTGGCAAAATTTTGGGTGATATTCTCAAGTTCTTTCACTTGTTTTTAACAGCCGAGCATCGAAGTCTCCACAGAACAATGCGCCTCATTTGCTTGAAAGAAACAGCAACAATAAACGACAAGACCTGGACAAGACCAACTTATGATTTTACCACGAGATACATGTGTTTTGCAATCATATACCATTGATTGCGTCCACATGTTTTTCCGTCGGTCTTTTCTTCCGTAGCGCGTCCGCATGTCGGCGGTACTTACGCCCCTTTGCGATCGATAGCCTATTAGCAGCCCCTCATTGGCCCGCTGCCTTCCTCAGGCCTCTGCACACTAATGACCCACCTCCCCGCCCCCCGCTGAGACTTAGGCCCCTATTGTACTACGGCTCGAGGGCTGTTCGGGTAATTTTCGCCTTTATGCATTACTCTTTGTCGCCCCGCTGTTGACGCTCCAGTATATCGTTAAGCCCTTCCCTCCCTCTCTCTCGCTTTATTTTCCCTCTGCGCCGCTACTACGTCGTGTCGTCTCACATTCCATGTCGCACATTGTATACTGTACTATGGGCTCATCTCTCTCTCTTATACTCTTCTTGCTCTTTGTTGCACTTATACCACCCCTTTTCATCATGCATTTTGCATCCACGCGTGCATTTTGAAAGGTGCACACACGCTTCGCGCCGCTCTGCGCTGCTTTTCGGAGGCTGTTTGAGCGCTGTGTG